AAAAGTCTCATTGCAGTTTTCAGAAACACAATAATCTTATTAAATCACAGTTAAAACATTTTTGAAGTTCATTTCTCCAAATTATATCTAATGCTTTTATTCCAACACAACCTATTGCTTTCAACATATGCCTATTTGTGGTTTTCCTAAAAATTAGGGCATAAATGCTCTAAGGTCTCCATCGCATAATTTCTTTTTCACTCCTACCCAAATGGCATCTGATGCCAGATACCATCTATATGCTAAGAAAGGCTGCATTTACATTATGTGSACTGGAATCTGGGAATCCAACAATATGCTTTTGATAAGCAAAATTAGGATTTCTGTATGTATCAGTAAGAATTCTACAAACAGCAATGCAAGGCTGTTAATGGTTTGAGATAAATTTTCAAACAAAGCATCTGCAAGAYTAAACAAGCACCAAAATGAAGTATCTTTGCCTGCRGGCCCAGACAGAATATGAGACAGAGTATGCTTAACTTTAATTCAGTGGGAGGGTTTTTTTTTTCATTTCAGGTTTGGAAAGAGCCRGTCTCTATTATTTTTTCAAGTTTGCTGTCTCATCTCTGAAGCTCAGGAGGCACYTTCCTTCACCTCCTTCACCTCATGAGGTGAAACACATACCAGTTCTCCACGGGGTAAGTGAAGTGGTAACCACTGACTGTGGTGGAGAGCTCCCTCCCATTTATCACTGTCTCCAGACAGGTGCTGACAGCCATAAATAAACTCTATTCATTGTGATGAGTGTGCGGGCTGCGTCTGTCCACAAAGGGTTTTTCATAAAGTGTCACGTAGTAAAGTCAGGTCATTATCAAAAGTAATTTAAATAGCTATTTGTAAAGGTAATGATATATTTGAGCAAGAAGTATGTTATGTTTTCTAAAAAGGGTATTTCTAGTAATACACTATTTGACTGACCTAGTGAGTTCAGTTTACGTTTATTAAGACTGACATTCATTTGCAGGCTGCAGAGAATAGTAAAATCGAGTCTTAACCTTTAGTACAGAAGATGAACACTATATATTTGCAGATGTACACTCAAGTACTGTGTCATATATATTTTATATATAATATTTACATCTATTTAAACATGTAAACTTTTGTTTGTTAAATATTTTGCTAAATATTTGCCCCAGCACGTTCATATCTCCCTGAGCATATTTAATAGGCACCATTACTTTCAGAGCCTCTTTAACTTTGTTAATAAAGCTACCATCTTTAAAACAAATTTAAAACCAGACAGATATGATAGCATTAAGTTTTAAAACGAGATCCTTCAGTCCAAAGCCCTTTCATTTTCAAGGCGTCAAGATTTTTAAACGAGATACCTACATGCAAAACTATTGCCATGCTGTTTCAGGCCAGATCCAAAGCTGGAAAGTTTTCTCCCTGCTCTCCCCCAACCTCCATCGTTACAGGCAGTCAAAACTCATGTCATATTCATTACCTACTGACACATCAGGTAAAAACAGAAGAAAAAGCTCAGCAGAAAAGTGAGGACTCATCTGGGCAGTGGCATTTGTTTCTGAYGTTAATACACAATTAGTACATGCTTACATAGGTGACAACCTACAAGCTTCCCACTCTGTCTTCCTTCACTCTAGGATACCCTCTTCCTATCTCCGCAAGGCCAGCCTGGACTTCCCTTCTTTTGGTAATAAAACATTACTACTAAAGATGATAGAGAATTTGCAAAGGCAACACCATCTCCTACAGTCTGCAAAGTGTTTCCAAAGTATGCGGAATACCTGTCTGCAGAGAACAGACACTTCTGAAACATGTGCCCTCTTGGCAGAAAGGTTCAAGTRTTTTAAAAGGATTATGCACCAACTTCAAGTTCTTTGCATTAAATGTCCCTCTTTGGTGGCATCGTTGCCTGTCTTCTAGTTTGTTCATGAGCTCCAACTCAAGAGTGAGAGACACAGAGCCTTCCAACCACTCTGGGTGGTCTCCTGCTATTCAATCCTCTTCTCGGTCTAGAGTTACAGCACTAGCAGCACCGGAGGGGCTAAAGAAGTTTGGCACTGGTAGATCTTCTCCTTGGAGCTGCAAGCACTCACGATTGAAATGATGCAAAGCAGCCTACTTAAATGAAGTAGCCTCTTATGTCAACAACAGGACAAAGCATGACTAAAGCCTGGCTTCTCAAACTAAAAGTCAAAACAATCATGAGAAGAAAAAGCCTACCGAAAATGAGGACTAATTAGTTCTGGTGCTCACACAATTGCTTGTTAATACAGTCTAGACAATCTTGCTGTTGACACATAGTTTGTCCTTAGGCAAATGYTGTCCCCAGTATTTTTTTTCATCTTATTCTCCGTCCACACAGTCTTTTTATCCATCTAAAAGTCTTTCTTCAAACCCTCCTGCTCTGCGCCACTCTTGCTGCCASCCATCATCACCAGTAAACTACAAAACTCAACACAGGTAGAAGTAAAATAAAATAATAAAACTAATGCCTACGTGATCCTKTAAGTACCAGTAATGAGACAATCTGAAGCTCCTGGATGTCTTCCTGCGGCACTTGACTATTCTCTGCTTGAATCAATATCTTCCTTGCTTTAGGAGTTCACAAGGAATCCAGTTATTCTCAACCTAATCATCTTGCAGATAGAAAGAYTATAAGCAGTTTCAGATCTCCAGTTATCTTGCAAAATAGCTGCTTACAGGATTGACCCAGACTGGAAACACCTGAACTCTGTTCAGGTTGGAAAAGCGACATTAAAGCAGCCTCTTCAGGGCTCCAGAAACAGGTGGAAAAAGTTCTGTGATTTCACAAGAAATATAAATATTTCCAGTATACCAAAGCACTAATTTGACTAAATGGACTGTTCTGCTGGATCCACATTGAACCTGTGCGTGGAGTTGGGATGTGCAAATTTTGGCCTTTGTGGAATTCAGGCTCTCCATACCTTCAGATTGGTTTTAGTTTTACCAGTTACACAGTCTGTTTGGGGGAATTTTTTCCCCCTTAAGTTCCTTGAAATTAAACACCCAYGGATGCAACCAATTTGCATCCAGAGTAAGTTGAGCAACAAGCTAAACACAAAGTTAATAGAATCTCTGCTTTTTGGGCRGGCTCAAAATAAAATCAGAACACAATACTGTCAGATTATTTCTAAGCTCACTAACAYATGGCAGTAAAAAATAAAAATATTATTGAAGGCACCTCCTACAGTTTCTTTCATAAACATCTGTCTCTTGTTGTTAAGCTCTTTTCTTCTCAAATATATCCAATTTTCAAATATGCTAACTCAAGGCATCTGAGCAGGTGCTAAAAACCACATTAAAAAGCCATTAGGAAAATTAAAAGAAAAGCCTGAAAACACAGCCAGGATGACCAAACTGGGCATGACCACACTGCCTGCTCAGCCTACGAAAATGGACAATGACAACCAAACATGTGATCCTGCAGATCACATTATACATATGCAACATGAGAAATAATTGAGAAATATTGAGAAATATTTATCAATGAAATGCAATGCCTACTAAAAAAAAAGTTTAAAGGGTAATACTTGGGTAAACCACTAAAATTAGTCTCATAGCAGATGAAGTATAACCTAAAACAAAGAGTGCTTTCACAAAGCCTGGCTGAAAGGACAAGACTCAGCTCTGTAAATTCTGTAATTTTACTAGTTCCACGTAACACTATTGACTAATGGCAAAAATACTCCTGAATATGCACACCTGCCAGATAGTGGAGTTTTTTAAGTTACACAAGCAATAACGTGTCAGGTATTAAAATAATGTACTATAACAAAGGTTTCCATCTGTGTTCCATAAAACTGAACCACATAATGGAAGAAAGAATAATCTTTAAAAATTAGAGCTTGAAAGCTATTGCAGCTTTGAAGCTACAACATTATAGCTTAAAAAACTGTAGTTTGAAAGATTTTTATGAGGCATGATGGAACTATCCTCAGTGTCCTTACTAGCCAAGGGTTTTCTTAGGCACTGAAGACACAGTAAGCTTCCCTCAGCTTTTGACCCTAGTTCCACACTGTTCCATCCACTACTGATGGATTTCTTTTAATCATTTAGCCTGGGCATTATTGATAATATTCATATCCGATATTGGTGAAATACTTATTTGAATTAATTAAGCTCATTGTTTGTGCCTTCAGCCAACCTCTTCTGATTACTTTCTTTTTAATGATTTTCAGAGAATGGAAAAGTATTTATAGTTGTTGTTATGACATTATGTCCTTGTACAGATGACAAAAGGCTATCAAATTATAAAATGACTTGAATACAGTAGAAAGTAGTTACAGTAGAAAACAAAAAGCAGTACTTTTTGTACTCTAAAACATTTTCATATTGCAATACAAGTGATAATTCTCTCACAAAAGACCCCTTGCCCTGTGAATAACTAGAATGTTACACTAAACAAAACGAACATTAATTCTTCCTAAATCACAAAATCTGGTAAATATATTCCTCATTCACTGAATAATAATGAATGTATTATATTTAATTTCAGGCATTTGATTCCTATCTTTCAAACAAAATGCTTTTTCCTTTTCTGGCTGCATGCAGAGCCAGATACTGTAGGTGCACCACTTGTCTCACCAGAGCCTGTGGAATCCAAATTACAACATAAAGCTGTAGGTGGAGATAGGCCAATTTTGGAAGTTATGTTGTACAAAGGAAGTAAAAATCTCAGTTGTTAATTTCCAAAAGAGTAAGCATGTGCATACAGTAGATAGTTTAAGCTTAAGGTAAGCATTTCTTAATAATGACTATGAATTATTCCCATTCATTTCAGTTAATTGCACACCTAAATATCTAAAGAGAGGAGCCACTGTGTCACAGAAGGCAAATAATCTGTATTTTCTCATTATATTTAAGAAGAAAAATATATTTATAGAAAAAAAGAAATAGCAAGTAATAAACCCTCAGCAATCAAACTCTGTGATTTATTTTGAAGTAAGAAGTGTAATTCATAGGAAGTGTGAATAAAGCAAGAAACACAGCATACACATTTTGTTCCTACACTGCTATTGCCAGCAGGAATTAAGTCTGAATGTGACACAATATATTAACAAAGTCCATACCTTTGTCACATGTTTGATTGAACCAACTATGAGATTTCGTCGACGATGTTTCATGCCTGGAAGATCCCAAAGGAGATCCAGGACTGTTTCTCCTTCTTCTAATACGTATTTCCGACCCTGGAAGTTTGGTTTCTCATAAAATATCCAGCTGTAATAATAAAATCATGAACCAAATAATTGCTGTTAGATAAAACTGTCCTTATGCTGCATATTTGCCAAGAGCTCCTGTAAAAGCTCCTAATCAAGCCCACTATGTGCCCTTTCTTACATCATACCTCAATAGCAGAACGTGTAGTCATATTCATTTGGGGTAAATTGGGAAAATTTATTTCTGTGCTTTAAAAATAAAACATGTATTTCCACCAGGATATAAAATAACAACTTAAAAACTGAACTGTACGCAAAATAGCTTAAAAGCCTCTGCTAATAAAAAGACTTTTTCACTAGAACAATTATATTAATCAAAAATTTAAAAATATACATTATTCAGTGTATACAATATACACTGCATTAGGGCTAAAACATACACATGCTAATGACTGCATTCAGCATTTTGTAACAAGAAAAAACAAGTATGCAGAAAAAAGGAACATACAAAAAAAAACCTAAAATTTTAATGTGCTGTATGGATGCTACATACAAGTAGCAGTAGCACTTGTATGTTTTATAGTCCTTTCAAAAGAGCTATTGTATAATGGAATTCAACTGTAAAAAAAAATTTGCTTTGGTGTACACATACATCTAGTGATGATTATGGCAGCATATGGACTCACCACTTGAGGCAAAAAAATCTAAGCTTATCTTTGGTTCTGTAAGAGATGTTCTGTTTAAAGCCAGTTCCCCTGAAGGAAAAAAAATCTATTTCATGCTTTTTTATTGATATCACTCTAGTTATAAACAAGGAAAAAGGCATTCTTACAGATTAGATGTGTGTTATATATAGAAGAAATGAAAATACAAGAAAAACACACATATGGTGTTTTGGAATGATTTACATATGACCTGCATTTCTTACCATCCTCTAATTATCCTAAGTAATGCTCCAATTGGAAAGATCCAGGATGTGGTATCTAGCACATCAGAATGAATTTCTTGTTTACTTTTGTCGCCATGAATGTCATAAATAATAATCTGAAACAACACACAATGCATATAATGAGGGCCCATTTCAACACACAGGGTAGACAGTTAATTTTTACTTGGAATAAAACCAACTTCATTTTGTGCTGAATCAATTCATGTACCACACACTTTCCTCTTTTATGAAACATGAACTACCACTGTCAGTACTCTTATACTCAYTTCTCATTTTATAATTGCATTTCATTAGCATGTGCAAACATATGCAGCATTAAAATAAAGAAAACTAGACTAACAACTTCAAATACTTCCCATTTAGTATTTTTGATATGATGAATTATTCCAATCTTCCCATTGATCTAAGTGACAAATAAATTCTGCTCACCTTTCCTGGCCTTGGATTGTATTTCAAACTTGCCCTGTCAATGAAGTTCTGAAATTAAAAGGATATGGAAAATTAACTATTAGCATATATAACTATTAGCTATAACAGTAGCACACAATATAGACAGATTATTCTTGGTCCACTATTCCTATAAGAGTATGCCCCTTTTATCAGTAGAAAAAAAGAAAAAAAGAAAACAAAATAAARCAAACAAACAAAAACCCCACAAGATTTGTATTGCTGTCACTTAAAGATAACAGAAACTAAAGAGTTTAATAGAGTTAATCAATCAGCAGAAAGTAAGAGTTTGATAGGAAGGATTTCTATGGAAGAAAACCACCTCTGGAAACGTTATCATCCCCTTTCCAGCGTCTTAGCAGCAACAAAGCAAATCCCCCCAAACAGAACAAATCATTGGCAACATCAGGTAGGAAGACTTGCTTCTTTCCCTGCACATTGGGTCTATGCAGACTTGCTCATTCCTAAATGTAAGAAGAATGTTTCTATCTCCTCATCTAACTTTGGTTTAAATAAACTAAAAAAAAAGGAATAATATACAGAAGGAGCTAGATTACTTATTTGCTAACTAAGCTATAACTTACAGAATTTGTATGGAAAGAATCAAATAGCCCAGTCAGCAGACATACATATTCTTGGGTAACATAGCTCAACTAACCTCAAAGGGGAAGAAATGAAAGACAATAACTTTCATAGAAAAGTCAAGTCTGTGATTTTCAGCTTGAAATGTCATCAGCATGGACAATATGTGCTTTGCTGTTACACATATTTGCAGTTGTACACGTTTTCCTGTTACAATTTCTATTTATATACATCTCCCTTTTCACAATTCTAAGCTACTCTTTCATCCGTGTGCTGAATCATAGACAATATGTCTTTTAAATCATTCTGTCAGAAAACTTTCTTTTAATCCATGATCTTAAACAATATTTGCCTTAAAAGGGCTGGTCACTTTGAACCTGAGCTAGTCACTTGGATTCCTAATATTATACAACACGACATCTTACCGCTGCCAAGTCTCCCAGTTTTGGCAAGGCATAATCCTGGGACCMGCGACTCTTGGGCTGCAACATATCCTGCAGAAGGCTTCCAAACTGGGCTCCCTTCTCCGTGGAGTAATTTCTGGCAGATTGCAAATATTGGTAATACACGCTTGTAGAAGAAAGCTTTACAGCAGCATCAACTTTCTGTGAAACTGCCTCAGAACATGTTTGACTGGGAAAAGCAGCACCTGGAAACACTTCTGGCTGCTCCATAGAGTTCAGCTGCTCTTTTGAAAGGAAAGGTGTTTCTTCAGGAAACAAAGACCTATTTCGGTCATTTGACTGAGAGGCCGTTTTTAAATTCCCTGTCCACTGGCTGGACACACATTCTTCTTCGCTGTTAGCATCAAGAATATTTTCTCCATAAAATAATTCCTCTTCCTCCTCCTCCCCTTCCTCCTCCTCTTCACTAAGCTGAGCAGTAAACTGCAAGCGCTCCGAAACGGACTGAAGAAGGGACAGCACAGAAGAATGGTCAGTATTATCTTTAGATACCCCGCTAGGAAGGCCTTCTGGTGACACATCTGGAGAGAGCAGGTCTTCTTGGGAGCTGTCATCTTCATATATGGGAGACAGGGAAAAAGGATATATCCTGTAGCGCTTGGCCTCTACACTCAGAAAGGACTCTGAGCTACGGCTCTCCATTGCTTCATTCAGTTTGTTATTCCTTTCATAAGGATGGGCTGGTTCATGGTTGCTCTCCGCTCTTTCACACATCAGGAGATGACCTATGTTATGTAAAGACAGGTCAGAAGAGAGGGAGCTGGTCTGCATCTCATCAGYGGACACAGATTTGTTCTCAGTTTGAAGAGCATCTTCATAAATTATGGTAAAAGAACTGTTTTCTCTCTGTTCAACTGGTGGAGAGATGGACAAAAGATCTGATTCCTCCAAGTCATCACTGCAGTCCAAGACATTTTCTTTGAGATGACCATCTTTTTGCATGTCACCATCTTCCTTTTTTACCTGCTCTAGAGTCTCATTATCTTGGGCAAAGTTGAGATGATTTTCCCCTTCACCATCCTCTCCAAGAGCAGGCAAGTCAGATGCAGTGGACTGTGTATTTAATCCAACATCAACCTGTGTTACCTCACTTGCTCCTTCTGCCAACTCTTCTTTACTCTCTGCCTTTACATCTTCCAAAGTTGCTCTTACTTTTGCAGATACGTCTTCTGCAGCCTCTCTTTCACAGGGCTCATACAGAGTTTTCTCTGCAATGCTTTCCAGAGAACTCTGAGGACTGCTTTTGTCTCTGGATTCACTCTGCATGCTCACATCTTCCTCATCACGCATAAAAGACGACACATTAACATTTACAGTTGGCCGCAACGTGCACTCTGGCRTATTTGTACTATTGCATGAGTCTATTGAGTGCAAAGGCAGAAACACCTCTTTAGCCACAGCAGCATGTTTATTTATCAAAGGTAAAGGCACGTCAGATTTGCTAGTGGTTGCCAATACTCTATCTTTGCCACAAATCTCTGTGGCAGTCATATTTCCATATACCTTTTCAGTATTCTCTTTTGCTACTAGTGTAAGGTCAGATTCTGGCTTTGCTAAACTGCCATTAGAAAGAAACCCGTTTGTTTGGCATGTAAATATATTATTTGGTATTACTTCACCTCCTTTGTGGTAATGTACACCATTTTCCATACTATTTGGCAATGAAGACAAGTTTGAGTAATTTGCTTTTTCAGTGCTTCTACTTCGAGCCTCCATTTTCTCTGTTGTTTCTTTGGTTAATTTCTGTGTTTTGGCAGATAATTTAATATCTAGATTTAAAATCTTTGGAGTTTCAGCCTTAGGGTTAGGCTCAAGCTTTTCAGAAGGCTTTCTATTCTCACTGCCTTGCCATTGATTGGATGTCAGCTTTTGTTTGGCTGAGTTAATAACTTCGTCAATTATTTCTCTTGCTTTCAGTGCCAGTGAACTATGTAGGTCAATTTTATCAGGGATGTAAAAAGGAATCTGTTCATCTTGATTATTTGTATCAACTGTTTCCTTTTCTTTACATGAAGAGGAGCTTCCTGCATGGTTCTCATTAAACTGCTCTAATGATTGCACAGCTGACTGGATTTCTTCTGCTTCCAGCTGTACAGTTCCCATTTGCTGATCATTTAGAGCATCCAGATTTATTAAACTATCCTTGCTCCCACAAACCTGGCAGACACCAACTGCTTGTTTTGCTATTATTTCTTCTAGAGCCAAGTGTAAAACTGACTCCACTATTTCCTCAGCTTTTTTAAATAAAAGAGCAGCTTCTTGGAATTTGGCATGTTCTTGCCCTCCCATGTCTGTATCTTTCAAAATTTTCGCAGAATAGAGCTCATTTGATATTCTATGTGAAACAGCTGCTTGATTACCAATTTTAGAAGAGGTTTCTGAGACAGCAGGAACATGATTATAATGAGCCACCTCTTTTATGGTATTTATCCTCACATTCTCGGTACAGACTGGCTCAGATACCACTTCCAAAGACTCTGAAGGGCAGATAGGTGATGGCATTTTCTTTGTCAACACGACACCATCAGGCTTTTGTGCAGGGGATGCAGTCTCTCCCCCATCACTGAGTTTACGACTAGGGGAATTACTGCTTTCCTGGGCAACCCTCAGTGTTTCAAGGGCAGAAGCAGGAAGGTTGCAGGTTTCTTTGGATGGTGAAGCAGCCTTGGGGATGGAAGCTCCCCACAGGTCTATGGCAGCACCAGAGTGATCAGTTTCAGCTATGTTAATGTCAAATTCTACAGAAACATCTGGGCATGTAGCTCTTGAGTCTTCTGGGCAAAGTGGCGTCTTGGTCATCTTGTCCTCAGGGATAGTTCCTCTCGACTCAGCAGCAGGAAAAAYACAGCTGGATTGGCCATCCTGTTCAGAAGCAGCAGCAGATGTGGCAATTTTGTCATTTTCAGAGTTAGTGGCAGAAGGTGTTTTTTGATGGTTGCCAGATGAAGAATTAAGTAACACAGATGATATTGCAGGCTTACTACTGTTATCAAGTTTTGAAGAAGTAGTCATATTAGCTTCTCCAGAACTAGATGAAGAGTCAGCAATGTCACCTACATTAACATCTTTTTCACAGACAAAAGGGCAGTGCTTGGTTAAGGGCTTCCTTCCATGTTTCAAGGCAGAATGTGAAACCTCCAAAATTTCTTCTGAGTTGGACATATGAGAGGAAAATTCAGAGACGTCATTGCTGGACTGAGAAGGAACAGGAGCAGTCTCAGATGTACCAGCTTTCCTTATTTTAGAAGCAGCAGCAAAAGCATCATCTGTCCTGTCAGTGCTGATTAAAGGCCAAAGTTCACTCTTTGCTGTGTCATTTTCTGCAGGTACAACTGTTGTCTTGGGAGAAATGCTTTGAACAGTTTTAAGGGAAATAGCACCAACCTCACGGACAGGAACTGAGTTTCCTGACAGGCTTATCTCTGCAAGCTCATGGGATTTGTTCTTCTCATCTTCAAGATCAGGACAAGAAATAGTATCTCTCACATCTTCTAAACTGGCTTCTCTTTCCCCTGTAGCTTTATTTTCAGATTGAGAGCTAGGAAGATGAGAAGCTGAGCAACAACCTCCAGTTCTAAAAGACAACTCATAAGAAGCAGAGAGAGGTGGTATCAGCTCATAAAAGTTAGAGTTCAGACTTCCACACCTGTGAAGGCAAGATGATTCTTTGTCAAGCTTTTCTACTATGGCCTCAGGTGAAACTTTCATTGTTTCAAACTCCTCAGTTTCTAGAGGAGATAAATCAGACTGTTCTGCACTAGTATCCTTACTAGTATCCTTGTCCACAAAGATTAATTGATGATCATTTTGTATATGCATGGTTTTCCCTAGTTCACTCAGTTCTTCATTTCTGGTTTCCCCGTCCATGACTGCATGTTCATAATTTTTAACAGACGCAGCTACAGTAGTTGGGTTACCTGTAGCTATGCTCCTGTCTACTCGGCACTCCTTGCTAAGTGAAGCAGGTATTTGTTCATCAAAAGGCCGATGCACAGCAGAAACAGAGCCTTGTGGATTTTGCCCACTTGCTACAGTTGGCACAATTCTTTGTGCATCACTTTTGCTAGCATCACTATCTTTGTTTGCACTATCTGTACTTTTTTGAAATGCAGTGGTGGAGGAATGAAGCATTTGGATATTCAGTGTTAGATCTAAGGGGCTCACTGTTTGATGATTACAGCAATATTCTCCTTCTGTCTGCTGTAGTTGACCATTTACTGTTTCTCTTTTTGATTTGGATGAACGAAAACCATCATTCTGCATTATTTTTTCAGATTCCTTAGTACTTCCTTTGCTACAATCAATTTTTTTATCARTGTTAGAAGGAACATTTTCATCTGCCTGAAACTGAGCGTCTGATTCTCCTGGCATTCCTTCTTTTTCCATGAAATGATTTACAAGACTCATTGTAGTGGAATCAGTACTCTGGCAAGTGGAATCGATCAGGACCTCTCTGTTCCTATCAGATGACAAAAACGAATCTAGTGAATACGTCCTCTTCACTCTAGTTGTATGTAAAGCTGGTGTGTATTTTAAATCCACTTCACTAGATAAATCAGTAGATGAAGCTGAGGTATTTGCAGTTATTTCACGTTTACTGCCACCTAAGCAATGCTGAGACTTTTTCAGTTCTGTTTCAATGGTAGAAGAATTCACTGGGTCATGATCTTCATTGTCTTTACCCTCAACTTCTCCGTTTTCCTTTAATAAATGTCCTGGTTTTGAAGACACTGTYATCTGGATTTCTCCATTTTCTCTGACAAGGGAACCATTCCTGCTATCAGTACTTTCTTCTCTTTCAGCCTTCTCTGACTGTTTTTTCAGTAGTTGCCTAATTCTTGCAGAGCCTCGATATGTTGCATAGGTAACTGCAGGTGATTCTGGTTTCCACTGCATCTGCCTGTAACAAGAACCATAATAAGCACAAACAGACAGAATATCTGAACAGTTCGTGTGCTGTTCATGAAGGTTAACACAGACTGTAGATTGAATTCAGTTCTTTTTTTTCTCTTTTTCTGYTTTCTAATAATGATTTGCACAACAAGTTATACACCACACTATCTTCTACTGAAGARAGATAACTTAAATATAAGCAAAACTGCACACTGCTACAAACAACTTCCATCACTTGCTTTCTCCAAGACAACTGAACTCTTGGTTACAGACGCCACTGCAAGCCAACATTTGCAAGGACAGAAATGAACATTCTTTCTTGAAGATGTTACACCCTATTAAAGTCTGCCTATACTTCAACTTTTTTTTTTTTAACCCCCTTTTTTTTTTTTAACCCCAATAATGATCATTAAAAGCACAGAACTGAAATTTGAATTTTTACCCAGAGTCTCAATTCAGTAATAAATAAGAGGAGTAGCAGAACCAAAGCACACATKGGGAAAAGAAAGGACACAATAGGAGGATGCTTTCTGAATGATAAGGATCAAGCGAAGATAGTGAATGAAGATCAGGTAAGAAAGAAAACTTTGAATACTAGGGAAAAAAAAAAAGGCCTGGAAATGTCAGAAGGAATTGATAGGCCAAGATATTCATCAGCCTTAAATCTAATAACTAAGAAAACTAATACAAAAACTAATGAAAAACAACAAAAAAACAATGGAAAAGTCATGCTCCTGCTCCTTCACTGCCCATCTGATGTAGTTAGCAGAAGTTCACAGCCTCTTGCTATCTTTCAAATTTCTAGAGGAACAAAGTTACTTTTTCTTAAAATAAAAAGAAACAACAAATCCTCACCTTCCTTTTTAATGCTTCTCCCATCCCCCTTTTCTTTTCTGGCTAAAGAATATTAGCTAAAAGTGGGCAATGACACTCTGAATGTGAATGACACCTTTTAGATTTTTCACATTAGAGAAATGCTCRTGCTCAGATGGCACAAAACTCATTTTTTCAGTAGTTCCCACCTAAACTAAGAACAAATTCTTTCCAACGCTTCTACCATCTGACTTTTACTTCTGTCTTGGCCACATGCAGCRATTCACCTTTCTGGGTAATTGTCATACTCTCTTCAGAAGTGTTTTTCTTGAGGGGAAAAAAAAAAGGCCATTCACTAAAGCAAACTGACTTGGTAAAATAAATCATTTTGTTTCTTTGAGAATCACTGCGTAACTACAACTTAACAGTSTGTGTGGATTTGATTGTAACCTTTCAGTACGTACAGAAGAGCATAACAAAGGAGTGGACTTACCATCAAAAATAGAATCTCTTTTGACCTAGGTTTTATAGGTACAGATTCTTATTTGAATATAATTTTTAGTGGGGATTTTGTACTACATAAAATAATAGCTGCAGTCTCTCCCGGTGCAGTATTTGGACAAACAAAAAGAGGACAACTGAACCACAAGCAGAATTATTCATATCCACAATATTAAAGCAGACATACAAACACTCATCTATACACTCATTTTACTTTGCCAGGTTTATTTTTGGCATAAGCCCTGATGAAGACTACAGCAGTATGTCAAAAAAGGATTTATACGCCAGGTATATTAAGTTATAGAAGAAAAAGGAAAGTCATGTACAAACACCAAGTCTCCAAAGCACTTTCATTTGCCTTTATTAAATGGATTGTTTTGTCTATAATGAAAGCTTCTAATGGAAACTTCTGTCAATATTGGGAAAAGACTTCTGAAAGCCCCAGAGATCCTAAAAATACTAGAAGAAGAAAACATTGGTTGAGTTCTATCACACACTAAATTCCCTCCGCACCAAACAGCCGAAACAAAAATGAATCTTAAGGACACATAAGATCTGATCATCCTCTCCCTCAGAAATACCCTTCCTACATAATCTCTCCTCCTACAGTGAAGTTGCAATGGGGTCAAAATGTCCTGAACAATCAGAAGGTTTCGCTGTCAAGCTTTTACAAAATTAAACCATTTCTCCCATTCTTTGGCCAACCTTGAAAATACAAGGCAGCATACAACAGTCCTGAACAAATACTGTATTTCTTTTAAGAAAATGAACAGAAGATAGTATGTTCTGGATACAGAGCAAACGGAGCGCACACAGAATACAGTACCCATTCCTTATGAGGCTCTTGCAAAGGAAAACAGCAATGCCAGGTGTTTGAAGGGAACCCAGTAACAGCATTGCAGGGGATTGAGTGCATGTTTCCACCACAAGCAAGGTAATATTTTGAATAAACGGCTTGACAACGATCATTTTGCACTTTCATGCTGCAGTTGAGCTTTCCTCTCATGGGCAGCAGGAAGAATTCAGAATTTATCTATAAAGATATGCCAAGAACTGGGGTTCCTTCTGCCTTCCCCTTCACGTGGCTGGGCTTTCCTACTCTCCTCCTTCCTCTCAGCCTGCTCCTCTTTCCCTGAGCTCACCCCATCCTCCATCCCCTCCACTCCTCTGCTCACGAACCTGACACGATCTTCTCCCGGAGGAGGCTACTTCCTTCGGCAGTTAGTCACGGCATGACAGGAACGGCTTATCCCGGGAGCAGGCCTCGTGCTACAGCGACGCTCCATCAGCATCTCCTTCCACACAGCTCTGCTGTCCTACAAACCTGCCTCTACTGTTGTTTTTTTGCTTTTCCTCCCCTGAAACGAAGTGACCTCTCTTCCACAGACATGGCAGTTGAGGGATCTCTTGACCTTYGATCAAGAATCCCTGCTCAGGATGTTCTACAACACTTTTGCCAAGAGGCCTTTAATTCCCAGCTCKTTCCTTTCTAGGGTATGTGGAGATGTTTGCGATCTGAACCACTCACAGGCAGTAACAAGATGTTTAAAAAATGAAAACTCATGTTCATACACTATAGCTGAACTCAGTTGGCTTGCTCTAAATGCTGCTCTAAGTCTTATGAAACACATTTAGAGGCTTATAGTTCCTTCTCCGGGCTGTGTCATACAAATCTTAAAAATGTCACCAGAGACTTGTTTCACAGGCATTTAGAGGAACAATTCACCTCTGATCATGCAAGGGCTGTGTCATTTCAGAACTTACCTTAAAAACTCTTTGGACACAATTTTCTTTACAGTTCATGCAAGGATACAGATGATAGCCTGAGTAACTCGTGTGTAGTTCTGCTCCGTATTTCAAATACTGGGAGATTCCTTCTTTCCCTTCCTCAAGGGAGGCTATTCAGTTCCCYGTAAAGCCTAAATTCAGTTTCACTAAAGACTGCTTGGCAGCAACAAGAAAAGATGTCAAGACAAATTATTTAAAATCTGCCAAGATTCGGTGCTTGTAGTGATTTCTTCTATTTCAGAGAAAAACCTATGAACTACAAAGTTCAGAAAGGGCCAAAGTCAAGGAGGAGAGGAGGGCATCTTCTGACACATCTCATGTGACAGACATCTGTGCAACTTGCACAGAAATTGGCATTAATCATAAAACAAGCTTGTTAGTTTGGAAGCCCAGAGGCAGAGGAAATCTGCCTRCTCCAAATGCCTCATCAAAATGCATCCACAGAGCCTACCATTATCTGCATCTTTTTCAAGAGTATGTTGATGGCGACCCCTCAATCTCTGTATTTACACTATACAATAAAGCAGACTGCAGACATCCCTAGACTACTTCCAAGCGGAGCCAGGAAGATCACACAGCATGATAGGATGCTACACGGATATAGCATCCTGGACCCTCTGGCAGAACAGCTGCCTTTGCAGCGTATGGCATCCAKGCTAGAAAGCCCTCACACCTACCTTGACACCTACCACTTGCTTGGCTTCAGCCTCCCCAGCTCCTACTGCATCCTTGTGTTGGTAGGAGAGCACAGCTCCTGGAAAGGTGGGCTTGGTTGCTTCTGCAGCACACTACACCTGGTTCTCCCAACACATGCAATGGCCTTTTCCTCACTCTTCATGCATACCTCACTCTTCTAGGTATGTTTTCTCCAGCCCTGGAGTCTAACTTTTTCAAGTGCACATGAGCACATTTCTCTGATCTCCTTTCATAGACTGCTCAGAAATAGTTCAGAGACCAGACAGAGCTGCAGACTACTGGCTGAAAACCACAGTTTTAAACCAGTACCTCTTTTGTGGTTCCTGTCTATTCTTCCCTATTTGAAAATTATGTTATTGTTTCTCATTTTAATTTTATTCCACCTAGCTTTTTCCTACTGTATATTTAACTAAAATCTTTCATCTTTTTTATTACTATATTAAGGCTCTTTGTCTGGAAGAAATTATCTTAAGTCACTTCTTATTCAGATAACTGTTTCCTGTTGTCACGTCAGGTTTTCATAAATGGAAATAAGTCTTACAGAAAAAAAAAAATCTCTGCAGAGTAACTGAAAAATTGCCATATATGACTTACATCAAAGAAAATGATTTCTTTGACAGAAAGGACAGCTCCACGATTTAAACCTGAAGTCTGCAATAACTAGTGTTCTGGGACTTTGCGCTGCTTAAACCAAACTTCGGACCTTCTGAAACATACAGTGATTTGCACACCACAGATTTTTCAGGTAATTTCAAGCTAAGGCTCCATAAGGACAGTTTAAAGCTAACCACAATTTTAAAGAAAGCAAATACTGTTTCTGTGACCTTGGAAGGAATGTTTTTCCTTCCCCTTGCTCTTCATGGTACTGCTTCTTTATGATCTTCATGTCTGGGAAAGCAATTGTATTCTAGATTTGCTTTCAGAAACAACAAAAAGCAGATCACATTTAGAATCTGGATGGCATACAGACACCGGATCACAGCATAATACAGGCTAGAGAGGACTATGGGTTGTCACCATCACAATCCTCCTGCGCAGAGTGGGGCCAAGGAACTTAGGGCACTTGAAGCCTTGTCCTGCTCTGGGCAGCCTCAAGGATGGGAGCTCCACTGTCTCCCTGGCCATTTGTCCCCTTGTTTGACCTCCCTCATGGGGAAAATATGTATCCAAGTGTCAGCATATCCCATTATCCAGCTTGTGCCCATTGCC